TGCACACGTATATATAGAGTGGCAGGGCGGCAAGTGGTTAATTTTTCTGGCCCTTATGCTTTGGCATATATATTTTATAATATTTTTTGGCATGTTGAGTTAATAGAAGAATTTATTTTTTTACCACAAGCTTTTGGATAATGACAAAAAAAAAAAACATTTTTTTTTTTTTTTTTTTACACAAAATTGTCATGTAAATGATTTATTGCTCACACATGCCATGGGTATATGTGGAATTACTCCCCAAAATACATTCTGCTACTTCTCGCAAGTATGGGGGTACCACATGTGAGAGACGTTTTGGCAGTCTAGCCAAGTACAGGACCCCAAAATCCAATAAGCACCTTCAGGCTTTTAAAGGGCTTTATTTCCTCATTACACTTCCTGACTTCCTATTACAGTTTCGGAGGCCCTGAAATGCCAGGGTAGCACCAACCCCCCCCCCCCCCAAATGACCACTTTTTGGAAAGTAGACACCCTAAGGAATTTGATAAGAAGCATGGTGAGTTTTTGCAGATCTCGTTTGTTGGATAGGACTCTTACCAATCAGAATGTGCTGGACACATGCCTGAGCCCTTTTATTGGAAACAACTGGAACACAAATAGAGGAATAGTTGCAACCATATCTACAGAAACAGCATGCTAACACAATCCCCCCCCCCCCCCCCCCCCCCCCCCCCCCCCCCCCCCCCCCCCCCCCCCCCCCCCCCCCCCCCCCCCCCCCCCCATTCTCAGAGAATGTTATCTGCAGATGTCCCTTTTGATAGCCATATACCCTTCCATGATGCTAACAGATTATTTTTACATTATTAACCCTAATGATCATTAACAAAGGTGGATTGGATGTGTGCATGTATATCCTAGATTGTAAGCTCTAACGAGTAGGGACCTCTGTTTCTTCTTGTATCAAATTGCATTGTAACTGTAATGTCTACCTTCATTTTGTAAAGTGCTGTGCAAACTGTTGGCGCTATATAAATCCTGTATAATAATGTATATAAAAACATTCATAAAAGATATTTGAGAACATAATTTTTTTAATATCTAAAGCAGTTAAAAAATACAAACGTGTAATATTAGATTGTAATCTCTCACGAACAGGGCCCTCTTAACACTCTTGTATTGTATTGTAACTGTACTGCCCCCCTTTATACACAAACTGATACCGAGCAGCTTTGTTCACCCTTTGTTCACCCTTCTTCTCTCTATTTTTAATCCTTATTTTCTACCCAGCATACCATCTTTTCACTGCAGAGCTGCAACTCTGGTTTCTATGGCAACAAGCATCTACTGTCAGAACCACTCAGTAGAAGAGAGATGCTGAGCCAGCTCTAGGTCAAGTAAGGGTTTTAGTATCAAATGGTCCGATAAACAGTACCATATTTCTCTAAGTGCAATAAAGGCCTTGTTATCAGGCAAATATGAATTTTTAGATCTGTCAATAGCCCTTTTTATATACACTTGCAATACTTCAATCTTTGGGAAATTTTAGCAGCAACACTTTAAAGAAATGTAGTATCCAGTTGTACTGCTAATTGTGTATAATATTTATTCGATCATACTTGGGAATATTTTGAACTGGAATGGAGTATAAACAATACATAAAGAATTGTACGTCTACAGTATTTTACAACGATTGATCAGAAGAAAAATGTATTAAACTGTGCAATTCTAGGAATAAATATGAAGGTAAGAAGGAAAAAGTAATCTCAAGGTGCCTTTTCACAGCTAATTAAAAATTCCTTTAATGCGGCTGTCAGAATACAATAGCTCAGCAGGGAGGATTCACCCACCAACACACTCAATCAGGCGATCAGGTTATCAAGTCTGTTTTTGTTCAGCTGGTTGAATAAAAAAAACTGACTCATCTATGGGATGTCAAAGGCCCTTTCACACCCAATGTCCTCTGTGGAGCAATGGGTGTAAACGGACATGTGTCCATTTACACCTGCCTGTATCCAATCCGATCTGCTAAAAACAGACGTCTAGGGGATCGATTGGATGGCAGTTGGGTGTAAACGAACAGGCGGTCCATTAATATCCGACCGCTCATAGAGGAGAGCGGGCTGTGTCTGTTCTGCATAGGCGGAGCAGACACGGACTAGCCATCTGCTTGTTCAGTGGGGATCAGTGAACACATGTGTTCCTCCCATGTGGAAGGAGCCTAAAAGGGAAAGGGGCTTTGTCTGGTCCCTCTACAGATAGAAAAGGCTTTTAATCTAAAGCTCAAATATTTAACAAAAGCCCATTTGTTGGTATATAATGTACAAATCCAGGCAATTCAGGCTAGTAGCAAGAATTGTAGCGAGTAATTACACATCAATACTAATATATGAAAGTGGCCTAAAGACAGACTAGTTCATATAATTAGTAAACAGCTTTGGAAGAAATGCAGAGTAAATAATATGCATTTTTGAGAAGACCATAAAAGCTTGGGGCTTAGACTAGCTTGGGGCCTAAGTACTCAGCAAATTGTTTACAGTAAGTATCTGTGTGCTACTTTTTTAACTAAATAACTGATCATCTTAACACATGAGTATTGATCTTATCTCTGAGACTGTGTTTCTTGCAGTATCATTGTGGAACTGATGATATCTCTGTGGACATGTTTCTGGCGGTGTCACTACAAAATGGATATTATCTCTGAGGATATGTCTCTGATGGTGTCACTGCAGTACTTATTACATCTACGTAGATGCGTTTCTGGTTGTGTAACAATAGTACTAATTATACTCTACAGAAGTGCTTCTTGCAGTGTCGGTATCGTACTAATTTCCTTTATACAGCTACTGGCAAGAGCGGAGGCTTGTTTATCCTATGAAGAAGAGGATTTGGTAAATCCTGCAGTTTCAGAGATGTTGGAAATTAAAAGAATTATCAGCATAGGGAAATCTTTGCACAAGGATTGGAGTGTTTATACAGCAAAGTGAGTCTCTTTACTCAGATTAACCACACCTCTTGTTTACATTAGGCATATCTTTTTATGGTCTACTACTTCATCAGGGAGAGACTGACAACTCATGGGGCCCCCGGGCAATAGGGGATCATGGGGCCCCTGTGTCCTTGCCCAAACTCAGAAAAAGGTACCAGGGGCATCTCATGGGGCCCCCTACTGACCTCGGGCCCTCGGGCAGTGCCCGAGTTTCCAAATGGTCAGTCCGCCCCTGTACTTCATCATACTGGTAAGTTTCTCCCTGGGTTCACATCTGTGCACATACAGCTGTATTAATTTTACAAAGATACAATCAAAAGTCTGTGAGCATTGGTATTTATAAAGAACTAAATGATTGTTCTGAAATTTGTAGTCAAGTGGTTGTGGAAACCATATCCCAGACCCAAATCACCATCTGAACATCTATGAGTACTTTAAGGTTGTGTTTGTTTGAACATCTCTTTTGTAAATCAGGCATTGTGGTTGATACAAAGTGCCCATCACTAAACATAGATAGATAAACATGGACTTTTCAATATGCTGCAAAATCTTAACCACTGATCATTAGATGAAAAAGGTCAATTCTTCTGCATATACATTCATTAAAGCCCAATATAGTTTTGGATAGCATGAAGAAAGCTTAAAGGGTAACTCTGCCTTCATGGGAAAAAATAGCAAATTAAAAAAAAAAAAATTTGCATCCCCTGCAGCACAAATGTCATGTGTGATAAGATACTCTCAAATGGAAAACACATTTAAAGGGTTGCAGACCCTGCAATTTTCCTCATTAGAGCCCTGCAGGTGCGGCAGCTGATTGATAATTATGAAACTACTCCCATATAGATTTACTGTGCAGTGCACGTGTACACGGACAAACAAACAGCTTGTCAGAAACCGTAAACCAGGCGGAGACAGAAAATGCAGTTCATAATGAGAACGGTTGTTGCAACCATGTCTACAGAAACAGCATGCTAACACGAATCACCCCCTTCCTACCCAGGCCAATTTTCATCTTTCAGTGCTGTTGCACTTTGAATGAATATTGCGCAGTCATGCAACACTGTACCCATATGAAATTTTTATAATTTTTTTTGAGACATACAGGTATGAAAAAAGATCAACAATTTTGAAAAAAATTGTTTTTCTTAGTTTCTGTTAAAAAATGTTAAAAATGGGTAATTTTTCTCCTTCACTGATGTGTGCGGATTAGGCTGCACTAATGGGCACTGATATGCAGCACTGACAGGCACTGATAGGCAGCACTAATGGGTACTGATGAGGCGACACTGATGAGGCTGCACTGATGGGCACTGAGGAGGAGGCACTGATATGCAGCACTTATGGACACTGATAGGCGGCACTGGAGGTCACTGATAGACAGCACTGATTGACACTGACTGGCTGCACTGATGGACACTATTTGGATTGCACTATTGGACACTTCTGGGACTGCACTGATGGACATTGTTGGGGCTGCACAAATAGACATTGTTGGGGTTGCACTGATGTCCTGATGTGTTTATATAGGTGCTGACTACCAGCTGTCCTCTCTCCTCATGCTGCAAAAGCGTGAAGAAACTGCAGCCGATAACCAGCAACTGTATTTACATTGTGATCAGCTGTGTCATTGGACACAGCTGATCACGTGGTTAAAGGGCACTTTGTTTGGCCCTTTTCCATGTCATGTGATCAACTGGTTCCAAAGGACACAGCAATCACAGAGCTCGCTGGGTGCACACCCCAGGGGGCGCACGGGAGGTGCAGTTCTGGAGGACGTCATATGATGCCCTCCCAGGACTAGACGACCGTGCTGTAGCCCTCATTCAGCTATAGCCCAGTCCTCAAGTGGTTAAATAGCAGGAGCCCTGATACAGCTATTTCTTCAAAATTAAAAAGGTAGGAATCTGCAAGAAAGTTTGTAAAAATCCCTGCAATGTACATAGATCATCCAGACAGGAATGCTTTTTCTCAACAAAAATGGAATTGCTCTTTAAATTTCTGTCAATGGTGTCTGTGTGTTTTTCTGTATGTCTGTCAGTGTGGTCTGCATTCCCTTTATATCTCACATCTGTCTCCTGCCAGGAGAAATCTCCTCCATTGGGGCAGATGCAACAGTAACATTTATACAGAGGTTCTGAATCTTCCTCAGTCTACTAGCAAATATGTTGATATTGCTTCCTGTGTCTCGGGGATTTCCCTTCTCTTTCTGTTATGTCTGACACTTCTCAAATAGACAGAAAGTAAAGAGAAATCTCACAAAAATAGGACAAAATTTGACATTAAAGTGGTTGTAAACCCTTACATACACCCAGTGAAGTGACTGACCTCAGATGATACACAGAGATGCATCAAATCCTCCTTAATAAATTGTACCTGTTATCTGCAGTATTCTCTACTTCCAAAGTATTGAATTTATAAAGCATGTCTAAGCTTTCAGAAAAAGGGGTTGGAGAGCTGAAGTTATACTCTGTCAATCTGCTGGAGGTCCCTCCCCAGGGGCAGACTGACCACTCGGGCACATGAAGTGCTTCTGGTACCTTTTATAGGCTTTTTTGGGTGTGCTTTGAGAGTGGGCAAGGACACAGGGGCCCCATGATCTCCTATTGCCCGGGGGCCCCATGAGTTGTCAGTCCACCCCTGCCCTCCCTGTCACCATTTTTCTCTTGGTGTCTGGAAAACGTGTTCGAAGTGGATCATACTGATAGCAGAGTCAGCAGACAAAAATTACACTTGGTGCTGTTAATGGAGACAAGTACACACTATAGCGGGAGATATGCTTTGTTCATATTTCATGTCTGAGGTTTACAACCACTTTAAGCCCATGGGAGGGAGAAACACATTAGGGGGGGAGTGGCATGGGAGAGACTAGCTAAAGCCATTTATCACATGAATGTCTGACCGTCTGAGGGCAGCTTCATTCTTTCTTTATGGATGACAAAAAATTTGAAGAGGTTCCAAACCTTCATTTTAAAAAATGTTCCAACTGGAGCTGGGCTTTATGTTGCTACATAGGTGAACAGGAAAAAAATTGCAGTTGCTTAGGTGCTTGCTGATTTCTAGTAGTGTCAATCATTGCAGTGGCCTCCAAGTTTTTCTGTTTCTTCTGTGTCAGTAAGGCAAATATGAGGACATGAAGAGCCATGAGAATGAGTGGTATACAGATTATGTTATCTCCTGTAACTAATCTATTTTATTTGGTTACAGGCAACATCCCCATTAGTGCACAGTAAGTCTTTTGTTTTACTTGTTACCCTCAGGCCACATGCTTCCTTGTGATTCCTATGAACAGTGAACTCAGCAGAAGTAATGACATTCTATTACTGTATGTTAGAGAAGGCCAGACAATGGGATTTTGTATTTTTTTTCCTTATGTGCAAGCTAAGGGTATATGCTGGTCAGTTTAACCCTTTACTACATGCCGTTTTAATTGTAGACATGATTCATTTTTAAGTGCCTATATGTGATGATGGGCAGCAATAAGTTGCAGGGCACAATCTTTTGCTAAATTTCTACAAAGGTCTTTCAGAAAGTTTATGGCACCAATTGTTTAGGCTATGGTCCATTCCAGGTTTCAAATTAGACTGTCTTTACCTGTACATATATGTGTTGCAACAACTCTCCCCTTTCATTCTTTGAGTTTAATTTCTTTCAATCATGGAAGCTAAGCACAACATGTAGGTGTTACCTAGGGAGGTGTGCAAGTAAATACAGTCTGCCTATGAGTGCCCGCTCCTCCAAGATGACACATGCCCATAAAGGTGTTTAGGGGTTATGACTTTTGAGAGGAATACTGAGACATGGTGCTGTAATATTTTGAGGAAGCTAGCACCTCCCACCAGCTATGATCTGCCTGCTTTGCATAGAGAAGCACAGAGACCCAGATATTATTTTATTACTGGTACTAAATTATGTAGTACAATCTAAATGGAAAGGCTTATATAAAATTTTCATTAGCATGGGTAGGGGGTGGGGGGTTGGGAATGAAGGAACCATGGAAGGAAAAAACCCCAACAAATTAAACCTTAGTGTTACAGTCCAAGTGAACCTTTAGTTTAAAAAGAGAAAAAAAAACCCAATAATCGTAATGCAGCTTATACAATTGCACTCAAGCCATTTTGTAATTGAAAGTTATTAAACATTAGTTGCAACTGCTTTTTTTAATCTGTCACAGCCATGGCAACAGATTCTAAGCATTGTGGTAATAAGAGCTACCTGAAATTGGTGCACATGCCAGAGCACTATATTGGAAAGGAGGTTTGCTGCCCAGGAGGGTGTTGCACCGTGTGAATGGATGGGATTCTTTTATGGTGCTGGTTACCCCTTGGCAGGTCTGAAAGATATCAGTGACTGATTGTGGTATCTGTCATGGGGTCGATGACATGCTATCTTTTTTGATCAAGAACCTTAGAGACATGTGTGGATGTTTGACCTATGGGTACTGGTGTTGCTATAGGGGTCGCAATGGCAACCCTGCCTATGCTTCTGGGGGCCTGCATGCTCTCTCTATCAGAGCCCCCTTCCCTCCTATATACAGGGACCGCTGGATTCCCTCCTCTCCTGATCACTCTCCCTCCCTCCTCCTGTATCCCATGTCCTGTGCGCGCCCTATGCTCCCAGTACCACAACTGTCCATGTCCCTGTGCCCGATGTCTGGGACCCTCTCCTCTGCTGATCAGCTGATCCTCCCCTTCAGAGCTCACCTGCTCAGTGCTGCGGTGTCTCAGCTCATCTGTATTCTTCTCATCTTCAGCAGGCTCCAGGCTCCTGCTCCTTCCCCTAAGGTTGCCACCTCATCCCTTTAAAACCGAACACATACTAATTACACAGGTTCTGAGGCTAATTTAACCATTTTGTATGTCTTAACTACTTCAATACTACTTCAACACTTTTACCCCCTTCCTGTCCAGGCCAATTTTCAGCTTTCAGTGCTATCACACTTTGAATGACAATTGCGCTGTCATGCAACACTGTACCCATATGAATTTTTTAGCATTTTTTTGAGACAGATAAATCTTTATTTTGGTGGTATTTATTCACCACTGGGATTTTATTTTTTTTGCTATGTAAATGAAAATGTCCAAAAATTTTGAAAAAATGTTTTTCTGATAAAATTTTGCAAATAAATAATATTTCATCATAAATCTTGGCCAAAATGTATTCTGTTTATCTTTTTAGTAGAAAAAAATAATAACCCAAATTAGTTAATAACTAAAAATTATCATTTTGAAACATTTTTTGTTTTACATTTTTATTTTATTTTTTTGTATTATTATTTATGTTTTTTTTTTACATACTGTCACCCTAGCAGTACAGTGTCATCATGGTTGTGGGGGTGATGAAGATTTTTTTTTTTACACTGATTGCTTTTACACCTATAAAGACTGTAAAACCAATCATTTCTCCTTCTCTCTGGCTGCATTCTTGCAGCCATTGAGAAATACTGTGTAAGCTGTGATTGGTCACAGCTTGTCACATGGTACAAGGCTGTTGTGAATAGCCTTGTACCATGTGACCTCTGTGATCATTCACAGATTTCACACGAAGTAAGCAATGATGTCAGAAGTGACATCTTGCTTACTACTCTGCATGTGATCACTGATTACCCAATCAGTGATCACATGATCGGGACCTCGCACAGAGGTCCCGTACGATGATCGGTGTTCCACTGTGTCCGGAGCGGGCAACGGATCGGGCAACAAGCAGGGGGCAGGGAGGCCGTTTATATACGGCGACCCGACCCTGCACTGCCACCGGATACAATGGCCGGATGGGAGGTGGTTAATGCAGATAAGACACTAAGTGAGTTTAATTATTACCACCTCAATCAGCCACAGTTTTAAAGGGATGAGGTGGCTACCTTAGCATCTCCAAAGATACATATTTTTGCAGCCAAATATGTGCAAGGCAACCTGAGCACCAAAGAGGTAAAAGAGAGAGCCTAGGAGGGGAGGGGAGTGAAAGAGAGATAGGGGGAGATCCAGGGGCACACAGAGAGAAGGGGCACCACTGAGAGATAGAGGGAGGGCCAGGGGCCACATAGAAAGAGAGACAGAAGGAGGGGCCCCACTGAGAGAGAGCAGGAGGGAGGGACCACACTGAGAGAGAAGGGCCCTACTGAGAGGGAGACAGAGATAGGGGCCCAAGGGCCCCAGTGTACTGGGGCAATGTGCGGAACTCTGTCTCCTCTATTCTACAGACACCATCCATTATATGGGGGGACATTATACTGTACATATAAGACACCCAACAGGATCCATCTATTACTCTATCTATTGGTCAGTTTCACCTACACAGGGTGACGGGGCAAACACTGTCCCCCAGCGGCCCACTCTCTGCTTAGAACCCCCCCCCCACATGTACACACAAGCTGGGGGCAACCAGGCCATACTCTGAGCTGCCAGTTGAAAGTGGTGGGCTTGTATGTGAACCTGGAAGTCATAGGCCCAGGCTGGGCCCTCTGAGTTTCCTCTTTTAGCCTGGGTAACACTGATGTGGTGTGGGAAAAACAGCAATTCCTGTGCATTTCCCGCACTGTGTAGCACTGTATCACGTACCTGATGGGAGACTGATATAACGAGGTCGGCCTCACTTGTGTCACTAGCCCTGACCCCGCTGATGTTGGAACAGAGGGAGTCTAGGGACCAGGGGGACAAGAGCGCCAGCGGTTGTTGTTTGCAGCTCTTGCAGATGATGACTTTGGAAGGCAGATGATCCTTTGATTTGGACACTGTAATAATAGGCCGAGCAGGTTCTGTGGATTGCCGGACGTGCAGCAGAGCAAGGTAGGTAGTAAGGACAAGAGACTGGAGCAGAGTCATAGGATAGCCAAGGTCATCAACAGTCGGGCAACGCAGTACAGAATCAGAAGGAAAAGCCAAAGTCAGGAGCAGGTCCAAAGTCAGGAACCGGTAGCAGGAGAGTAATCAAAGTCGGGTCAGGAACAAGCCGGGTTGGTAATGGAGGAATCGTACAGGAACAAGCAGGACACGGGGGGAGCTGAAGGCCAGTCAGCACTGAACCTGAGCAGAGGCACTCCTTAAATGGGCCGTCTGGCGCCAATCTTTGCCGTGTGTGCACGTGCGCATGCGTGCGCGCAACCGGCAATTCTTCTGCGGGAATTCCTATGCGCATGCATGTTCCCGATCGCGATTCTTCTTGCCGAAAATCCCTTACACACTGTGTTTTGTGATCTGCTGCAGGTGTCAATGGAAAGGTAACGACTCCCCAAAAGCAGGTTCACAGAGATGTAAACACCCATGCGATCCAGTTCCAGTGGAAAAAAAAAATCTGCCTGTACCCTCTTTGATACATTGATGCGGTGCAATTTGAGCCATTCAAAATGAATGGGCTCAAATTAAACTGCACAGAATCGCAGGTGATTTGCACAGGAATGTGGTGTGATTCCTGTGCGATTCACATGCGGTTCACAGTGCAGGGGCATAGGTAAGGGGGTCAGGGGGGTCTGACCCCCCCCCAGAGCAGAGTTACTGACTGTTATAAGGGAGCTGTGTAATGTGCAGGGGGGCCGTGTAAAGTGCAGGGGGCCTGTGTAATGTACAGGGGGCTGTGTAATGTAAAAGGGTCAGAGGTGCAGGGGCTGTGTAATGTAAAGGGGTCCAGAGGTGCAGGGACTGTGTAATGT